TCTCTTCTCTCTCTCTTCTTCCTTTCCTTTCCTTTCCTTTCCTGGGAATTGTGTGTCTTAAGCTTTAGTTTAATTATGCTCCCCAGACAAATGTCTCACCTTTGGAATCAAGCTATGGACTCTCATTGCTTTTAGCTCTGAGAGGAAGCAAAGGTTTGGAATATGCATAAAGGTAATAGAAGAGTCATATAATTTAGTTTATGTTCTCCCCAGATAGATAAAGGGGCAGAAAGAGAGAGAAGCTGTTAAGAACATATTTCCAAGGCATATTTTAATGTCTGCACATCTTACAGTGGCAATATCATTATGTGCCTGCAAGTCAATAGGCTGCTCCTCATTTCTATCCTTTGAGACTAATCCACAGCTGGCTGCGCTGACAGTGTACTTGGCCTGGATCTTAGTGATAGGATGTCTCACTGCAGAATAAAGACTCTGCTGCTATTTGCTGTTTAGGTGAAAATCTGGGACATCCCCAAACATTTACTAACAAGGAACATCACCAGTGCAAGGAAGGAGCTTCTGGGTCATGCTCGAAGGGTGGGACTCATTGAATGGCATCCTACGGCCAGCAACATTCTCTTCAGTACTGGTTATGATTATAAGGTGAGTCAGCTTTGCCCTTCTCTCCAACCTGCTGCAGATACTGTGGGGCGGAATGTGCGGCCCAGGCCCAGGGGAGGGACCCAGAGGGTGCATCTGCAGGGAGAGGTTGCCCATACTTGCTTTGTTTCTTCACAATCAGTTTTGTTTGTACTCCTACATGTAGTTGCTTTCTGTAACAACGGGTCATGTAAGTTGTATGAGGAGAACCCTCCTGGAGCCAGCACTGTGTGGGTCACCCCCACCTGGGGCAGAGGACGTAGAGCCTGGGTTTGTACAGACACCTATGCTGCTGGTCCTGGTTGCAGGGGCAAAAGCTGGGGTTCCCCAAGCAGAGTGGGCTCACCCCAGCCCTCTCGGGGTGAGGGAGTAGTCTGGCTCTTGGGCATTCCAGCCAGTCTCTCTAGAGAGAGCAGGGCAGGCAGGGAAATGTTTCCCCCAGGACAGCCATGTTGTAGTTGTTAGCTGGGGCAAAGCATGCTGGGAAATAGGGGTGTGTGTAAACACTAGCTTTTCAAGCGATGGAGAGACCGGGAGGCAGGCAGACTGCATAGAAGGTCTGGTGTAGGGCAGAGAATGGAAATTCCAAGTCATGGCAGATTTCAAGATTTTGAAATTTGTTTTCATTTCAATTAAGAACAAAACCTGGAAGATTTGAAATTTTTCACAAAAGAAAATTCAGAAAAAAATGTTTTCAGATTTATCAAAACATTTTGTGTCAATTTTAACTTTTTTATTTATAGTCTAATATAACACAATATAATTATCACATCATTATATTTCAGCGTGGTAGCCGTGTTAGTCTGTATCAGCAAAACCAACAAGGAGTCCTTGTGGCACCTTAGAGACTAACAAATTTATTTGGGCATAAGCTTTCGTGGGCTAGAACCCACTTCATCGGATGCATGGAGTGGAAAATACAGTAGGAAGATGAAGTAGGTTTTAGCCCACAAAAGCTTATGCCCAAATAAATTTTAGTCTATAAGGTGCCACAAGGACTCCTCGTTGTTTTCACCGTTATATTGTTGAGAAAGGAAAATGGAAATGTTTCATTCTGAAGATGTCAAAACAGGACATTGCAATATCATCTGAACTTTTTTCCTCTTTTTTTCTCCAAACCAAAACTTTTGGCTAAATCAACCCAGTTTTGCAAAGTGTTTTGATATCGATAGAACACAGTCCTGTCTGGGTTCCTCTGGCAGCCCTAAAGTGAACCCACTTTTTGTGTTCTGGGTGCTGCTCTGTGTGCTTTTGAGTAGAGGTGGCTTTGATGTGGTTTGTGTAACCTGTGGGACTGCAGGCCCTGGCTGGGGTTTTAATTAGCTACCCTGGGCAAAGGGACATGGGTACAAACGCCAAAAAGGAGCCTTTTGAACATTCACGACTTTCAGTGACCCTCTCTTTCCTCTAAGGTCTGTCCACAGTACAGTCAGAGAGTTGACATATCCCCATGGGCGACAGGCACGTGGCTTCCACATTTGGGGAAGCTGGCCTGAGCGCCGGAAGCTCACCGGTGCCTGGACCGTGGCACCCCCCTTGCTCCACTTGAAGCCCCTCCCCCACTCGGCCTCCTCCCCTGAGGCCCCGCTCCACCCCAGGCCCTGCTCCCACTCAGTCCCCTCCCGCAAGGCCCTCCTGCCTGCCGCTCGCCTAGTCCCTCTCCTTCACCCCCTGTTCCCTGAGGCCCCTGCCAAATCCATCCAACCCTCCCGAGATTCCACCCCCCATCAAGTCCATCCTCCCGAGACCCCACTGCTTGCTGAGTCCCTCCACTCCCCCACTCACTCCACCCCACCACCTACCGAGTCCCTCCATCCCACTCCCCATGGCCTCCTCGTTTGCCGCTCGCCTAGTTCCTTCTCTTCACCCCCTGTCACCTGAGGCCTCCACCACCCGCCAATTCCATCCACACCCCCTCCGAGACCCCACTGCCCGCTCAGTACCCCATCTTCCCTCAGAGACTCCACTGCCCATTGAGTCCCTCCACCCCCCGCCCCCCGAGACGCCACTGCAAGCTGCTTGGGGGAGGAGAGGAAGGACTCGGCAAGCAGTGGGTGGGGGAGGGAGGGTGGAGGAGAGGAGGGAGTTGGGACTTGACAAGTGGGGGGGCCATATGGGGGGTGGAGGAGGGGAGAGAGCAAGTGGCAGGGGTCTCTTGGGGGAGGAGAGGAGGGACTCAGCGAGAAGCTGCAAGCGACGGGGGCCTTGGGGGAGGGACGGAGCAGGGACAGGAAGAGGTGGAGCATGGGTGGGGCCACCACAGCCCAGGCATCCGTGCACTCAAAGGCGGCAGGTTGGCAGCTGCGCTGCAGGGGAGGCTTACCCTCCCCCGGCCTACTATACCTGCCGCTAGGCATCCCCAAGCTAGTGTTGATCTAGGGAATGTGAGCACCAGTAGGTGTGAAGCCACAGCAGCATGGGCTAGCTGCTCAAGTACAAGTCCTGGGCGGGCTTGTTCAGCCTGCATTGCTATGGCATTGCAGCCGTAAGTACTCGCACTAGCTCCATCAAAACTAGTGGGGGGCATGTCTACAGGAGCTGCAGTCACCCCTCTGATTGCAGTGCAGGAGACCCTAACGGAGTCACAACCCGCATAACATTCACTTCCCTATCGTCTAGTTGTAGGTTTAGTTTAGTTAATGTTAATGTAAATGGCTGCTGTTCATTCTACCTGTTTTCCGCTGAAACAATTTCCCCATGCAATAAAAAGTCCCCTGGGAATGAGAATGTCAGCTCTCTGAGGCAGACTGCTGTAAGGCACTAAGCAGGCCATAGACAGACAATTTGTGATCATAATAATTATATGGGTAAAGAAGGGTGTGAGTTCACTAGGGGACATTGTTCCAGAACTTCACTCCTATCTCTCCAGGGGAGCAGCCATTTCATAGAATATCAGGATTGGAAGGGACCTCAGGAGGTCATTTAATCCAACCCCCTGCTCAAAGCAGGACCAATCCCCAGACAGATTTTTGCCCCAGATCCCTAAATATTCCCCTCAAGAATTGAACTCACAACCCTGGGTTTAGCAGGCCAATGCTCAAACCACTGAGCTATCGCTCCCCCTATTTGGTGTGCAGTGTTGTACTCGCTGACTGTCAAATAGGCTGGTTTGAGGGAAAGGTGCTGAAAATTTGTTTCTTTGCCTCAGATAATGATCTGGAACCTCGACACAAAGGAGCCCGTAATTCAAAATCCGGTGAAGACAATCAGCTGTCACAGGGACGTGATCCTCTCCATGTCATTCAACACAGATGGCAGCCTGCTAGCCACTGCCTGCCGGGACAGGAAAATACGACTCGTTGACCCACGGTCAGGAGCAATCCTACAGGTATACAGGGTTAAACAGCTTGATCCACAGTGCGTCTGACTGTAAGAGCTCTTTCTTCTTAAAGTGTTTGTTCATGTGGATTCCAGTCAGGTGTGTGCGCGAGCACGCACACGATGGCCAGAAGATTTTTCCCATAGTACCATTGGTCAGGTCAGTCCGGGTGCCCCCTGGAGTCGCGCCTTCATGGCGCTCAATTTAGAGCCCAGCCGACCCGCCACCCGTTCAGTTCCTACTTAGCACCAGTGACGGTACGCTGGAACTTCCTGTAGCTCTGGCTTTAGCAAGCGTGTTCAACTCCAGTTGTTTGTACATGGTTAGTTTATCTTAGTAGTTAGTGATTAGAGTTATTGTGGGGTCCCCATCCCCCTTCTGACTCCCCGGAGCCATGGTATGCCACGGTCCCTGGGGTTTAAAAACAGTGTGGTCTGAGTGAAGCTCATGCCAAAGAGCGATCCACACTCCTCGTGTTTACTGTGCCTAGGGGAGGGTCACCAAAAGGATCGCTGTAAGATCTGCCGCGAGTTCCACCCTAGAACTCTTAAAGAAAGGGAGCAGCGGCTAAAAGTGATCCTCATGGAGGCAGCTCTACACCCCCATTCGGACCCGGGCTCCTAACACTTCCTTGTCGATATGGAGCGCTCCGGCGCCATCGAGTTCGGTGCCGAGAAAGGACTGGTCCCGGGACGCTCGGCACAAGCACGGCACTTCCCGAGGCCCAGTAGAGAGCAGGCACCGGTCTCACTCGCCGGTGTCTCAGAAGAAAACGAAGCCAGACAGTCGGTCACCCCCTGCTAAATCTAAGGAAGTGAGACCCCAGGTGGGCCACAGCTTGAGATCCCCCGTTAGGGTCGCGTCATCTCCTGCCCAGCTGAGGCAGTTGAGTCCAGGCCCTCCACGTTCACAGGTCCCTATGGGCCAGCAGCTGCCACTTCCTTCAATGCTGGAAGCTTTCGAAGCTGCTTGGGAACTGCTGCACCTTACGGCGCCGTTTTCACCCCCTAGGAGGGAGGAACCTACGGTGCTGGCGGTCCCACCCCGCCCCCAGGTGCAGTCAAGAGGGAAGCTGGCAATGATGTCCAGGCATTCCCCATCTCCATGTCCTTCAACATCGGCCCACTTAGACAGAAAGCCTAGTCGCACCCAAAGCTCTCAACGCTCGATGCACTGAAGCTCGGTTCCTCTGTGGTCTTCAGTCTTGGAGACCTTGGAGTCAGAGTCTGACTCCCACCGCTCTCAGAGGAGCAGGAGCCGACGATTGAGGTCAAGGCAAGAGAGGCGAGAGCTCCAGGCGTGGCCACCTCAGTGGCAGAATCCACTGGGCCATTCTGGACCCCCTGGGCATTTCACCAGAGCCAGGGAGGGATCCAAGGGCACTGCTCCGCAGCATCTTCGGTGGCCTCAGCCACATTCGTCCCGCCATCAACCACGCAGCTCGCCTTGGCGCCTACCCACATGTTGATGCCTTCGACTGCGACATCATCACCGGCCTCGGCACTGGCAACTCTTTGGACCTCAGCGACGACTGCTGCTCCGGTGACGACAGCATTTTTGGCATTGATGATGACCTCGGCACGAACAGCAGCATAGACAATGGCCCCGCCACCTTCATTGGCTCAGGCAGCTGGTTCAGCACCGGTTTCACCGGCGGCACCATCAGTGTCTCCGGTTCCCGTACCAATGCTGAGTTCGGTGTTGACAGCTCCGGCGCTGACAAGTGCTCCATTGCACTGACGTTCCCCTGAGAGTCGCGGGACCCCTTGGGAGCTGATGGCAGGGAGCATCTGCTGCTTATAGGGGTTTCCTCTTCATCGTCTCTGGACAAGGCATTGGCAGGCACAGCCATAGCCCCGGCGCTTGAGGACAACAGGGTGCTACAACAGTTGCTGCGAAGGTTGCTCAGGGTCTGGGCATTAAGGCTGAAGAAGTGGTCGAGGAGGCTGATCCCATGGTGGATACCCTTGCCCTCTCAGGTCCTTCTCCTGTTGCCCTACCACTTATTAAAACTATTGTGGACACCACCAAGACCCTGTGGCAGACTCCAGCTTCCTTGCCGCCCACTGCCAAGTGCAACGAGAGGCATTATTTCGTGCCCTCCAAGGGGTACGAATATTTGTACTCCCACCCACCTCCCGGCTCTCTTGACGTGGCTGCTGCTAATTAGCATGAGCGGCAGGATTTCCAGGGGCCTCCCCTAAAAACAGGGAGGCTAAGCAACTCGACCTTTTCAGGAGAACGTTCTACTCTCCAGGAGGTCTGAAGCTCTGTATCTTGAACCAACAGGCAATCGTCAGCAGGTACTCTTATAACAGCTGTGCAGCAATGAGCAAATTTGAGGAGCTCCTTCCTTCAGACTCCTGAGTCGAGTTCTCGGCCGTGGTGGAGGAGGGAAAGCCAGTCTCCTGGGTTCCCTCCAGGTGTGATGCCGCCACTAGGGTCATGGCTACTGGGGTGCCCATGAGAAGGGGCTCCTGGTTCCAAGTCTCGGGGCTCCCTTATGAAGTCCAACAGACCATTGAGGACTTCCCATTTGAGGGTGTGACTCTTTTCTCTGAAAAGACAGACAAGAGGCTGCACAGCCTGAAAGACTCACGAGCCACCCTCAGGGCCTGCAAACTCCCGCCACACTTTAGGTCGCAACCTCCTCCGAGGTTCTATCAGCAGAACCGCCAGGATGGTTCTCGGAGGAGGAACAGGAGTGTCAGGAAAAGACAACACCCATCCTTAGGCCAGGGCTCTGACCAATCCAAACCACCTTCTGGCCCGAAACCAGCCTTTTGAAGGTGCGGTCAAGGATGGCGCACCAGATCCCCAACTGGATCCACCCCACCTTACCTTCTTGTCCTGACTGTCCCCTTTCTACTGCGCATGGTCCTGTATCACCTCGGACTGTTGGGTGCTCTGCACAGTAGAGAGGGGATACGCCATCCAATTCTGTGCCCTTCCACCCTCCTTCCCTGACCCTCTTCAGGGACCCTTCTCACAAGCAGCTCCTATCCAAGAGATGCAGTCGCTCCTATCTCTAGGGGCAGTGGAGGAGGTTCCTCAGGAGCACAGGGGCGAGGGCTTTTATTCCAGGTATTTCCTAATACCAAAAGCCAAAGGCAGCCTCAAGCCTATCTTGGACCTGCGAGAACTCAACAAGTTTGTGAAGAAACTCAAGTTCCACATGGTCTCTTTGGCCTCCATCATCCCCTCACTGGTATGCCACCCTCGACTTGAAGGACGCGTATTTTGATATCGCAATCACTCAGCCCCACAGGAAGTACCTCAGGTTTGCGGTCAACAGTACCCACTACCAATTTACTATCCGTCCATTCGGCCTGTCTTCACATGCGTGGCAGTCGTCGCCACGTTCTTGCGCAGGCACCAGGTACAGGTGTTTCCGTACCTCAACGACTGGCTGATCAGGGGCCCTCCGGGACCCAAGTGGAAGCTCAGGTCAGATTCATCAGAGCCACCTTCAACATCCTGGGTCTCCTTCTAAACGAAGCAAAATTGACTCTGTCCTCCGTCCAGAGGATAGAGTTTATAGGGGACTTGACCCAAGCCAGGGCATAGCTGCCAGAATCAAGGTTTCAGGCCCTGACCGATATCATTCCAGGCTTCAGACAGTTTCCCACCACCACAGCGATAAACTGCCTGAAGCTTCTCGGACACATGGCTGCCTGTACCTATGTGGTGCAGCATGCCAGGCTCAGGCTTCGACCTCTTCAGTTGTGGCTTGCGTCAGTGTATCACCCAGCCCAGGACAGCTTGGACAGGATTTTGACCCTGCGTTGTCGGTCCTCTCCTTCCTCCTGTGGTGGCTCGACCCTTGGGGTATGCTCGGGGGTGGTGGTGGGGGGGAATAGTATGCTCCCCTTCGCCACTCCGCAGCCGTCTCTGTCGCTAGTGAAGGACGCATCAGACTTGGGCTGGGGAGCACATCTGGGAGACCGCAGGACTCAAGGCCTCTGGTCTCAGGAGGAACCAGGTCTCCACATCAATGTCAGAGAGCTGAAAGCAGTGCGCTTGGCATGCCAGACCTTCCAGGCATACTTAACGGGTCAATGTGTATCAGTCATGATGGACAATACAACAGCAATGTTCTACAGCAACAAACAGGGGGGTGCACACTCCTCTCCCCTGTGCCAGGAAGTCCTGATGCTGTGGGACTTCTGTGTAGAGCATTCAATACACCTGCAAGCGTCGTACCTCCCCAGGGACCACCTCAGCAGGTTGTTTCATGGCCATGAATGGTCCCTTCGCCCGGACTTCGCGATTTCAATCTGCCAGAGGTGGGGATTTCCCTAGATAGACCTATTCGCCATGTGACACAACAGGAAGTGCCAGCAGTTCTGCTCCTTCCAGAATCACAGCCCAGGCTCCAACGTGGATGCGTTCCTCCTCCCATGGGAAGGTTGTCTCCTATACGCTTTCCACCCATACCACCTGTTCACAAGGTGCTCCTCAAGATCAGGAGGGAACCAGCTCAGGTTATATTGATAGCACCAGCCTGGCCCCACCAGCACTGGCACACATCTCTCCTAGACATGTCCGTGGGAGCCCCGATCACCCTGCTGCTCTTCGCAGACCTTCTGACACAAGATCACGGTCGTCTTCAACATCTGAACCTCGAGTCACTTCACCTCACGGCATGGAAGCTCCATGGTTGAATCCAATGGAGCTTTCCTGTTCAGACCAGGTTAGACAGGTCCTCCTTGGCAGCAGAAAACCCTCTATGAGAGCCACATTCCTTGCCAAGTGGAAGAGATTTTCAACCTGGTCGGCGCAGTGTCATTCGTCCCCGACTCTAGCCTCAGTGCCACTCATTCTCACTCTAACATCTGAAGCAGGAGGGTCTCTTGTTGTCATCAATAAGGGTGCACTTAGCTGCCATCTCAGCCTTACACCCAGGCGTGGAGGGCCGCTCTGTGTTTGCTAATCCTATGGTCAGCCAGTTCTTAAAAGGACTCGACAGGCTATACCCTAACGTGTGTCAGCATGTCCCTGCCTGGGAC